TGAGTCTTCTTTGGTCCTGGAACAAGGCAGGAGGTCTATAGTCACTGAGGACTGCTGGCTGAGTCTTCTTTGGTCCTGGAACAAGGCAGGAGGTCTATAGTCACTGAGGACTGCTGGCTGAGTCTTCTTTGGTCCTGGAACAAGGCAGGAGGTCTATAGTCACTGAGGACTGCTGGCTGAGTCTTCTTTGGTCCTGGAACAAGGCAGGAGGTCTATAGTCACTGAGGACTGCTGGCTGAGTCTTCTTTGGTCCTGGAACAAGGCAGGAGGTCTATAGTCACTGAGGACTGCTGGCTGAGTCTTCTTTGGTCCTGGAACAAGGCAGGAGGTCTATAGTCACTGAGGACTGCTGGCTGAGTCTTCTTTGGTCCTGGAACAAGGCAGGAGGTCTATAGTCACTGAGGACTGCTGGCTGAGTCTTCTTTGGTCCTGGAACAAGGCAGGAGGTCTATAGTCACTGAGGACTGCTGGCTGAGTCTTCTTTGGTCCTGGAACAAGGCAGGAGGTCTATAGTCACTGAGGACTGCTGGCTGAGTCTTCTTTGGTCCTGGAACAAGGCAGGAGGTCTATAGTCACTGAGGACTGCTGGCTGAGTCTTCTTTGGTCCTGGAACAAGGCAGGAGGTCTATAGTCACTGAGGACTGCTGGCTGAGTCTTCTTTGGTCCTGGAACAAGGCAGGAGGTCTATAGTCACTGAGGACTGCTGGCTGAGTCTTCTTTGGTCCTGGAACAAGGCAGGAGGTCTATAGTCACTGAGGACTGCTGGCTGAGTCTTCTTTGGTCCTGGAACAAGGCAGGAGGTCTATAGTCACTGAGGACTGCTGGCTGAGTCTTCTTTGGTCCTGGAACAAGGCAGGAGGTCTATAGTCACTGAGGACTGCTGGCTGAGTCTTCTTTGGTCCTGGATCAAGGCAGGAGGTCTATAGTCACTGAGGACTGCTGGCTGAGTCTTCTTTGGTCCTGGAACAAGGCAGGAGGTCTATAGTCACTGAGGACTGCTGGCTGAGTCTTCTTTGGTCCTGGAACAAGGCAGGAGGTCTATAGTCACTGAGGACTGCTGGCTGAGTCTTCTTTGGTCCTGGAACAAGGCAGGAGGTCTATAGTCACTGAGGACTGCTGGCTGAGTCTTCTTTGGTCCTGGAACAAGGCAGGAGGTCTATAGTCACTGAGGACTGCTGGCTGAGTCTTCTTTGGTCCTGGAACAAGGCAGGAGGTCTATAGTCACTGAGGACTGCTGGCTGAGTCTTCTTTGGTCCTGGAACAAGGCAGGAGGTCTATAGTCACTGAGGACTGCTGGCTGAGTCTTCTTTGGTCCTGGAACAAGGCAGGAGGTCTATAGTCACTGAGGACTGCTGGCTGAGTCTTCTTTGGTCCTGGAACAAGGCAGGAGGTCTATAGTCACTGAGGACTGCTGGCTGAGTCTTCTTTGGTCCTGGAACAAGGCAGGAGGTCTATAGTCACTGAGGACTGCTGGCTGAGTCTTCTTTGGTCCTGGAACAAGGCAGGAGGTCTATAGTCACTGAGGACTGCTGGCTGAGTCTTCTTTGGTCCTGGAACAAGGCAGGAGGTCTATAGTCACTGAGGACTGCTGGCTGAGTCTTCTTTGGTCCTGGAACAAGGCAGGAGGTCTATAGTCACTGAGGACTGCTGGCTGAGTCTTCTTTGGTCCTGGAACAAGGCAGGAGGTCTATAGTCACTGAGGACTGCTGGCTGAGTCTTCTTTGGTCCTGGAACAAGGCAGGAGGTCTATAGTCACTGAGGACTGCTGGCTGAGTCTTCTTTGGTCCTGGAACAAGGCAGGAGGTCTATAGTCACTGAGGACTGCTGGCTGAGTCTTCTTTGGTCCTGGAACAAGGCAGGAGGTCTATAGTCACTGAGGACTGCTGGCTGAGTCTTCTTTGGTCCTGGAACAAGGCAGGAGGTCTATAGTCACTGAGGACTGCTGGCTGAGTCTTCTTTGGTCCTGGATCAAGGCAGGAGGTCTATAGTCACTGAGGACTGCTGGCTGAGTCTTCTTTGGTCCTGGAACAAGGCAGGAGGTCTATAGTCACTGAGGACTGCTGGCTGAGTCTTCTTTGGTCCTGGATCAAGGCAGGAGGTCTATAGTCACTGAGGACTGCTGGCTGAGTCTTCTTTGGTCCTGGAACAAGGCAGGAGGTCTATAGTCACTGAGGACTGCTGGCTGAGTCTTCTTTGGTCCTGGAACAAGGCAGGAGGTCTATAGTCACTGAGGACTGCTGGCTGAGTCTTCTTTGGTCCTGGAACAAGGCAGGAGGTCTATAGTCACTAAGGACTGCTGTTTGAGTCTTCTTTGGTCCTGGATCAAGGCAGGAGGTCTATAGTCACTGAGGACTGCTGGCTGAGTCTTCTTTGGTCCTGGAACAAGGCAGGAGGTCTATAGTCACTGAGGACTGCTGGCTGAGTCTTCTTTGGTCCTGGAACAAGGCAGGAGGTCTATAGTCACTGAGGACTGCTGGCTGAGTCTTCTTTGGTCCTGGATCAAGGCAGGAGGTCTATAGTCACTGAGGACTGCTGGCTGAGTCTTCTTTGGTCCTGGAACAAGGCAGGAGGTCTATAGTCACTGAGGACTGATGGCTGAGTCTTCTTTGGTCCTGGAACAAGGCAGGAGGTCTATAGTCACTGAGGACTGCTGGCTGAGTCTTCTTTGGTCCTGGATCAAGGCAGGAGGTCTATAGTCACTGAGGACTGCTGGTTGAGTCTTCTTTGGTCCTGGATCAAGGCAGGAGGTCTATAGTCACTGAGGACTGCTGGCTGAGTCTTCTTTGGTCCTGGAACAAGGCAGGAGGTCTATAGTCACTGAGGACTGCTGGCTGAGTCTTCTTTGGTCCTGGAACAAGGCAGGAGGTCTATAGTCACTGAGGACTGCTGGTTGAGTCTTCTTTGGTCCTGGAACAAGGCAGGAGGTCTATAGTCACTGAGGACTGCTGGCTGAGTCTTCTTTGGTCCTGGAACAAGGCAGGAGGTCTATAGTCACTGAGGACTGCTGGCTGAGTCTTCTTTGGTCCTGGATCAAGGCAGGAGGTCTATAGTCACTGAGGACTGCTGGCTGAGTCTTCTTTGGTCCTGGAACAAGGCAGGAGGTCTATAGTCACTGAGGACTGCTGGCTGAGTCTTCTTTGGTCCTGGAACAAGGCAGGAGGTCTATAGTCACTGAGGACTGCTGGCTGAGTCTTCTTTGGTCCTGGATCAAGGCAGGAGGTCTATAGTCACTGAGGACTGCTGGTTGAGTCTTCTTTGGTCCTGGATCAAGGCAGGAGGTCTATAGTCACTGAGGACTGCTGGCTGAGTCTTCTTTGGTCCTGGAACAAGGCAGGAGGTCTATAGTCACTGAGGACTGCTGGCTGAGTCTTCTTTGGTCCTGGAACAAGGCAGGAGGTCTATAGTCACTGAGGACTGCTGGCTGAGTCTTCTTTGGTCCTGGAACAAGGCAGGAGGTCTATAGTCACTGAGGACTGCTGGCTGAGTCTTCTTTGGTCCTGGAACAAGGCAGGAGGTCTATAGTCACTGAGGACTGCTGGCTGAGTCTTCTTTGGTCCTGGAACAAGGCAGGAGGTCTATAGTCACTGAGGACTGCTGGCTGAGTCTTCTTTGGTCCTGGAACAAGGCAGGAGGTCTATAGTCACTGAGGACTGCTGGCTGAGTCTTCTTTGGTCCTGGAACAAGGCAGGAGGTCTATAGTCACTGAGGACTGCTGGCTGAGTCTTCTTTGGTCCTGGAACAAGGCAGGAGGTCTATAGTCACTGAGGACTGCTGGCTGAGTCTTCTTTGGTCCTGGAACAAGGCAGGAGGTCTATAGTCACTGAGGACTGCTGGCTGAGTCTTCTTTGGTCCTGGATCAAGGCAGGAGGTCTATAGTCACTGAGGACTGCTGGCTGAGTCTTCTTTGTTCCTGGAACAAGGCAGGAGGTCTATAGTCACTGAGGACTGCTGGCTGAGTCTTCTTTGGTCCTGGATCAAGGCAGGAGGTCTTCCACATCCCTGGAACTGTCTCCAGGGTAAGACTAAGGGGGAAGAGGTGCTGTAGAATCCCACAGAGCTGCTCTGCTCAGGCGTGTGTTTTATAGCTTAATTGGTTTTATTTCCATTTAGTTTCTGGTGGTATCTGAGTTCTCATGTATTCCTTGTTGACCCTCTGCCGCCCTCTAGTGTCAGTCTCCTTCCCCTTCGTTCCCCTCTAGATTCTTCTGTACACACCTGCTCCCAATCAGTCCTTGTTGTGTTTGCCATTTATACTCCGCTTCAGTTACTATTTGCTTGTTCCTCATCGTTTCTTTGCTCTTCATGTGTCTCTCCTGTTTTCTTTTTTTTCTGTATTTTGTTTTGGACTTTGCTTCTGGTTCCTTTGGATCAACATTAAATCTACAAGAAACCACCTCAGCTTCCGTCTCTGCATTTGGGTCGTCTAAAAACCTCCACTCAACCTGACTAATCCAGTTCTTTCCTGCCATATAGTAGAATCACAGAATCACAAAACATTAAAATAAACAGCGAAGTTAAAACATCAGAACAGTTTTTCTATACAGAAATGGTCGACCTGATATAATTGTGCTACGTTCCCCCTGCAGCATAGAGCCCTTTGCTCTGCATATATTGCTTCCCTCTCTGTCCCCCGACCTTCTTTCTTCTGTTTGTTTCTCTTTTCCGCATCAAAATAACCTTTCAAGCAAATTCTACTAAAGTTTTATGTATGAAGCACAGGATTGTAATGACAGCCGTAACGCTCTGCATGTCTCTTCTGTTCGGAAATCAGAACTATTCTGAGATCTTTGCTGCAAAAAAAGGGGCAACTTTAACAACAATGTTGAGTCAAAACTCAGTGGTGCAAGAAGAAAAATAGAAAGTTCAGGTAAAGTAGAGTCCTGCTGTTGAGGGTAAGGTTTCTAATAATTTTAGAGATCAGTTGATGAGAACCCATTACGTGTTTGAATCAGAAAGAAATGTGACGTAACAACATGAACCAATGATGCGGAGCTCAGTACCTGTGCAGACTCTGTGCTGCTTTGGGCTGTAATAGAGATGTATGGCTTGGAGGCCGTGGAGCAGGTGGAGGTCCGCGGCGGCACTGGTGGGGGGGTTTTCTTATAGGTAGTGATGCAAGATGAAACTACAAAAAGCAGAAGGAAGAGGAGATAAGAAATGAGTTACATAAACAGGTGTAGTGGGAAAAAGTATTCAACTATTTACTCCGGTTAAATAAATGGAGATTGATGGATTTCACTCAGTCAGCGCTTTATTCTATCTTTGCAAAGAGAGAACAGTTCATCATATGACGCTTACTGCACGGTAATCAGCCCTCATGCAGGCGTTGTGTGGCCTTACAGGTGAAACAGGCTGTGTCATGATGGGTTCACTAAAAGCGACCCAAGAATGCAGAACACCACTGACGGACACAAGGATGAAAGTTAAACAGTTTATTTATGCACAAGCACACAGTATACACTGGTTCAGGTTCGGGGCCTGGATTCTGGTTCACCGGAGTCTGCGTGAGAGACAGTTCAGTTAGCGTTGCCAACAGAGGTTTGATTTCCTGAAGTTTACCGATTGTACCTTGAGGGTTCTTGAGGTTAGCTTTGGGAGAGTCTCTGTTGGTTCTGGAGATGAGTTCATCAGCAGAGTCCGCTTGCTGCTTCAGCGTCTCACGTCTTATTTGAATAGACCTTGGCTTTGGGTTTTCCAGCTCTAGTCCAGAGCTGCTTGGAGGTTCACTGTGAATCTTCAGGTTTGGCTCTGAGGGTCGGCTCGGCAGGTTAGCTCTTCCTGAGCTTACACAGAGGAGACACAGGTTTCCTGGAAAACAGAGACAGGGGTTAGAATCCAAGCTGGATTCAAAAGTCATTGAATTACACTGAGGATCTAGGCTTAAGCGCTGACCAACTGGAACAACACTGCGGCGTTGAGGCAAGGTCTGAAGACAGCTTAAGTAGTGGATCCTCTGATGGTCTAGACGAGCTGCAGCTGTGCAGGAGGCTCCCTCAGAGGATCCACGGCGGACTCTGCTGGAGAAAGGTGGAATTTCTCCAGCTCCCAACAGGCTGGGTGAAAAACCTTCATAGTGAGTAAATAGGATAATTTAATATATTAGATAAGAGAAACTAAATTCTCCGACCTCGGTGGTTTCTGCCTGTTTGGATTATTCTTATTAATTACCTGTGAGTCTGTTAAACCCTAATAATACCTGTCTGTTACCTGTCAGAACTAATGTTTTCCCAGTAGTTTATCTAATTAGGAAAGTTTGATAGTCCGGATTAAAAGCCAACTTCATTACATACATTGCAAAGATGTAGAAATGGAATTAGAGCGGCATGATTGGTCTAACAACAAAGTGTAATATTTTGATAATGTTGTGATGATGGCGCCTTAGCTGTTAATTTCATTCACCTGTCTGACTCTGCCCGGTTTCATGTGATCCGCCTGCTCCTGCCTCTATGTAAGCTGCCATCAGGGCCAGATTATTCTTGATCCTTTGGTGTGAGAGTCTTCTAGCGTTACTGTAATGTTCTGATTGGCTGGTTCTGACCCGTCTCTGTATTCGGACCTTGGGGCCTTCCTGCCCCTGTCTGATCTGTTTACCTGACCTGTCTGTGGATTCTGTTGGACTCTTCTTGTGGACTGAACCTGGATCTGACTGCCGACTTTGACCTGGATTATCCTTCCTTCCTCCGTCTGCTCGGGTCTGATCTCCTGCCAGTCCTGCAGCCTTCTAGGCTTCAGCGTCTGGAACTTTCTGGCAGCATCTGTTGCATTTTGTCAGATAACTGGTCGGATCCTACCTCATTCTCTGAATACAGACTGAACTGTACAACCAGGTTAACGACTCACGCTTTCATACTCATCCTCCATCAGATTATCGTAGTCACTAACCTGTGTTTCTCTCCTGTAGAGCTCCCTGCCTTAGATGCTGTAGCCACTGCTACTGCAGATCCGCAGATCCAGTTGTTAAAAAAAAACTTTTTGAGTTATCCCACTGTCTGTCTTGCCTTGAACACTGGGTCCCTCCTTTCTGAGTCATTACAGATAAGGCTGCAGCCATGGATGTCTCCTCATCTGTAAATGTGTATGATGTAATGATGAGATGATGTACAGTAGCACAAAGATTGATGTTTAAAAAGGAATTGTAGGGGACCAGCCAAGGACCCATCAAGGAAAGTGGGTAAATTTTGAATGGCAACTACTGTGATGATGTAATAATCTGATGATGATGTAATGACGTGGCAGACTGGAGTTGTATAAAAGGCTTCTTTACTGTGAATCTGGTCCACTTCCTGAGAAGTGAGCCCGGTTGGTGAGCAGCTGCCTTCTGTAACTCTGAGTCTGAATAAGATTATCATTTCTATCAGAATCTATTGTCATTTCTCCTGGTTAAGTTTGTGTTTGGGCGATGCTGATCGGGTGGCGGTGAGGGGGGGTGATCCTTTCACCCATCATTCCTGGGTGAAAGGATCTGGAATTTAGCCCTGGATCTGTTAGTCCGTGAGGCAGACACCCTGTCTACTTTTAAGGCTAGGCTTAAAACTTTCCTTTTTGATAAAGCTTCTAGTTAGAGTGGCTCAGGTTATCCTGATCTATCTCTATACAGGTGCTGGTCATAAAATTAGAATATCATGAAAAAGTAGATTGATTTCAGTAATTCCATTTAAAAAGTGAAACTTGTATATTATATTCATACATTACATACAAACTCATATATTTCAGATGTTTATTTTGTTTAATTTTGATGATTACAAATGACAACAAATGAAAATCTCAAATTCATCATATCAGAAAATTAGAATATTACTGAAGACCAATAAAAACAAAGGATTTATAGAAATGTTGGCCAACTGAAAAGTATGAACATGAAAAGTATGAGCATGTACAGCACTCAGTATTTAGTTGGGCCTCCTTTGGCCTGTATTACTGCAGCAATGCGGCGTGGCATGGAGTCGATCAGTCTGTGGCACTGCTCAGGTGTTATGATAGCCCAGGTTGCTCTAATAGTGGCTTTTAGCTCTTCTGAATTGTTGGGTCTGGTGTATTGCATCTTCTTCTTCACAATACCCCATAGATTTTCTATGGGGTTAAGGTCAGGAGAGTTTGCTGGCCAATTAAGAACAGGGATACCATGGTCCTTCAACCAGGTACTGGTAGCTTTGGCACTGTGTGCAGGTGCCAAGTCCTGTTGGAAAATGAAATCTGCATCTCCAAAAAGTTGGTCAGCTGCAGGAAGCATGAAGTGCTCTAAAACTTCCTGGTATGTGGCTGCGTTGACCCTGGACCTCAGAAAACACAATGGACCAACACCAGCAGATGACATGGCACCCCAAACCATCACTGACTGTGGAAACTTTACACTGGACTTCAAGCAACGTGGATGAAGTGCCTCTCTTCTTTTCCTCCAGACTCTGGGACCTTGATTTCCAAAGGAAATGCAAAATTTACTTTCATCAGAGAACATGACTTTGGACCACTCACCAGCAGTCCAGTCCTGTTTCTCTTTAGCCCAGGCAAGACGCTTCTGACGCTGTCTGTGGTTCAAGAGTGGCTTGACACAAGGAATGCGACAGCAGAAACCCATGTCTTTCATACGTCTGTGTGTGGTGGTTCTTGAAGCACTCACTCCAGCTGCAGTCCACTCTTTGTGAATCTCCCCCACATTTTTGAATGGGTTTTGTTTCACAATCCTCTCCAGGGTGCGGTTATCTCTCTTGCTTGTACACTTTTTTCGACCACATCTTTTCCTTCCCTTCGCCTCTCTATTAATGTGCTTGGACACTGAGCTCTGTGAACAGCCAGCCTCTTTAGCGATGACCTTTTGTGTCTTGCCCTCCTTGTGCAAGGTGTCGATGGTCGTCTTTTGGACAACTGTCAAGTCAGCAGTCTTCCCCATGATTGTGTAGCCTATAGAACTAGACTGAAAGACCATTTAAAGGCTTTTGCAGGTGGTTTGAGTTAATTAGCTGATTAGAGTGTGGCACCAGGGGCCATCAATTTTGAACCTTTTCACAATATTCTAATTTTCTGATATGATGAATTTGAGATTTTCATTTGTTGTCATTTGTAATCATCAAAATTAAACAAAATAAACATCTGAAATATATGAGTTTGTATGTAATGTATGAATATAATATACAAGTTTCACTTTTTAAATGGAATTACTGAAATCAATCTACTTTTTCATGATATTCTAATTTTATGACCAGCACCTGTAGTTCTGCTGCTATAGGCTTAGACTGCTGGAGGACATAGGGACCCCTTTTTCATCATTCTGCTTCATTCTATCTCTATTCTCCCACTCTGCAGAATCTGTTAGTTCAATCTCTAACGTTCTGCTCTCTCTGCTTTTCCTCTCTACTGTCGCTACAAGCATGCTTAGTGTGAGGGATTGCTGAAGAGTCAATGAGTCGATGCAATCAGCTGGTTTTCCTTAGATAGAAAACTTTGAATCAATCTGACTGGATGATCTGGTTGAACTGGAAAGTGACCTGAGATGACATGATGTGAATTGGAGCTATAGAAATAAACTGAATAGAAACTGATTTGAACTGAATATCTCCCTAAATCAAACACAAATATTAAACTTAGAAAAATGTGAGTATTTGTGTTTTCCTCATTTTATTCCGCTCATCCTGTTTTCAGCCCATGGTGGAAATCCGTCCCATGGAGTTGGAGCTGCAGGATCAGTTTAGAGGGAGGAGTGCAACATTTTCTGTTATTCTCTCTTTCTTTTTGTCTTTTGCTTTCTTGTTTCCAGTTTTTTATGGCATGTGATATCCATGAACCATCTGACTTTATTCTTTCTTTGCTCTAATGTTTACTCGGTATGTAACCTGCCAGGGGGTTCTGCAGAAGGACATGTGTTCAGTGTGCTTCCTCTGCCCTTTGTCCTGTTTACCACCACCATCATCATCATCATCGCTCTCATTAGAGCTGAGGAAGACCTTCCTCTGGCAGCCTTGCAGCATCTGTTTACCCCCCCCTCTCTTCTTCATCTCCATCTCAGCTTCCTAATAGCTGCTCCCTGTGCTTCACCATCTTTGGGGATCCTGAGGGAAAAAGCTCCATGTTGCTGTATGACTGAGTCAACCCCATGTCAGCAATTAAAACAACCAATGAGCTGCAGACCAGCATCTGTCAAGAGTCACAAACTTTGGCGTAGCACCGGTTATCTAGAAAAGCTCTTCTAAGCAGCTGCAGAATTAGTTTATATAAAAATATGTTTTCCTCATTCATCAGAGCCTAAAATCAGGGACGTTTCCGGGGACAGCCTTAGCTGTGGACAGGTTGTCCCTAAAGCAGGACTAGTCCTAAAAAAATACGTCACGCTAATATAAGAGCTATATATTCCAAAAACCTTGATATTAACTTCTGTTCTCAAACGTAAACTCCACACTGATCCCCTACGTCATTTGGCCAGTTATATAAGTAGTTTTTGTTAAATATTATTTGATTTGTTTAATGTTTATCGTCTTTCCTCAACATTTTATTGGTAAATTTAACCACATTTCATTAACCGAGCTTAAAGAGTTATTTAAATGTTTAACTTTGAGTTCAACTTTCCAAAAGTCAACTGAACTTTGTTTCCCAGTCTGAAGACGTTTCTCTTCCATCCAGGAAGATTTTTCAATTCCAAATGTCAGAAATAGCGTTTAGTTCCAGGTTTTATCCAGCAGCCCAACAAAGCCTGGTTTTAGTTTAGAAAACATGCAAATAGAAACGGATGAACGGGTCCCCCCCTTTGGAATGGGGGTCGTTTGGCTTCTTTGTTAGCCTGCAATGCCCCATACCTGTCTATGTCCGTTTCTCAATCCAGTAGAATGCGATGACGGACTCGTGTTCTCGCTAAGTTTGTTCTTGACAAGAACCCAGGAAAGTCTGGACTCGGGGAGAACAGGAGCATGCAGCATAAATCTGGGTCAATTGGAACCAACGTTACCCCTGGCCTCCTCAGACGGGCTAACATTACCCCTGGCCTCCTCAGATGGGCTAACATTACCCCTGGCCGCCGCAGACGGGCTAACGTTACCCCTGGCCTCCGCAGACGGGCTAACATTAGCCCTGGCCGCCGCAGACGGGTTAACGTTACCCCTGGCCTCCGCAGACGGGCTAACGTTACCCCTGGCCTCCGCAGACGGGCTAACATTAGCCCTGGCCGCCGCAGACGGGCTAACGTTACCCCTGGCCTCCGCAGACGGGCTAACGTTACCCCTGGCCTCCGCAGACGGGCTAACATTAGCCCTGGCCGCCGCAGACGGGTTAACGTTACCCCTGGCCTCCTCAGACGGGCTAACATTACCCCTGGCCGCCGCAGACGGGCTAACGTTACCCCTGGCCTCCGCAGACGGGCTAACATTAGCCCTGGCCGCCGCAGACGGGCTAACATTAGCCCTGGCCGCCGCAGACGGGCTAACGTTACCCCTGGCCTCCGCAGACGGGCTAACGTCAGCCCTGGCTGCTGTTACTGTAGAAGCTCCACTGGTTGCTGCGATCCTCTCAACTTAGTGAAGCTTTAAGTATAATTTTCTCGCCTCAAATGATCTTAAAACATACTTTTATTGAATAACAGCAACATTAAAGAGAACTTTTATCTTAATCCTCTGAGCTCTGTGAGCGCTAACCTGGAAGCTGCTGGTCCAGCAGTGCATGCTGGGACAGCTGATAGTGAGAAACGGCATATGTCTCTGAAAGGGGGGTCGTTAAAGGGAATTGTTGGCCTCCTAATGCTAAAGACATCTTAAATATATATTCCCAGGACAGAACCTGACAGACCGAATGCTTAGTGATTTAATAACAAAGGACCTAAGAACATTTATTGTACAAAATCGAGGAGCAAACAGAGGACTTTAGTCCGGTAAAGTTTATCTTGATCCTGAAGTAACTTCTTGGAAACATTCAGCTATCATGAAGCCTCTCAGTTTGGTGCCTATAAAGCAAAGCCGTTCATCAAAAGGCATCTTAAACGTGGTTAAGTCTCTTTTCCTGGTAGATCCCAGGATGCTGCTGGGCTTAAATGTCCCTGGTAGGAACCGCCAAGACAAAAAGCTCTACGTTCAGACAAAGAGATTAAGATGCAAATCAGAGCATGAGCTAAAGATCAAATGTTAATGACGTAAGTGAGAAACACTCCCCTGCAACCGTTCTTATCCAAAGAGACATTTGGCCCCGGGTCCAACCAAGGAAAAGCTGTTTGGAGCCACAAAGTAGGCCTTTTTCAAAACAAGCTATCTGTTTTTTGTTATCTCGTATAGGAAATTAGTTACCATCTTAAACAACCAAAGATTTATCTTTTAGTTTCGCTTGTAGCAGCGCTCACCTGTGCTGCTCTGGATGGTCCTGACAGTGGTGGCGGTGGTGCGGGGGGGTGAGGATGGAAGCAGCAGCAGTGGTCTTCCTCCTGGTCCTTCGTCCTCAGAGGTACATCCCTGGTCGATGGCCCTTACATAGCTGGGGCTACGCATGCGGAAGCATCCAGGCATAGGCAGGGTGTCCATGGTCTCCAGACTGTCCATCCCTGCATCCATGGCCTGAGACTGCAGCTCACTGTAGACCTGCTCGCATACCTGCTCGATCTGCCCGTTCACCTCCACCTCACTCAGCTGGAGAGGAGACAGAGGAGAGGGACACGTGGTTAGGGGGGAGAAATCCACAGATTATTCACCAGAATAAGCTTTAGATAAACAGATAAGGAAGTTTTTCCATCACTCCCACATTAAACTGGTGGAACTCAGAGGTTGAATCATTTCTTTAAGATAAAGTGTGTTTTATAAACTGCCTGGCCTAAAAAAAAGTCGCCGCCAAATAAAAAGGTCACTCACTCCAATACTTTGTTGGACCGCCTTCAGCTTTGATTTCGGCACGCATTCGCTGCAGCATTGTTTCGATAAGCTTCTGCAATGTCAAAAGATTTATTTCCATCCAGTGTTGCATTAATTTTTCACCAAGATCTTGCATTGATGATGGTAGAGTCTGACCGCTGCGCAAAGCCCTCTCTAGCACATCCCAAAGATTCTCAATGGGGTTGAGGTCTGGACTCTTGAAGCCTTTTTTTCTGGTTAGCCTCACTGATTAGTGGTTTTCTTATGGCTACACAGCTGTCCAGTCCCAATCCCTTGAGTTCCCATATATATATATATACATATATATATATATATATATATATATATATATATATATATATATATGTAACCTAATGAAAGCGTTCGGATGGAGTAACTGTAGGTCCAACCTGCATCCACCCTTAGAGCGCCCCCAGCAGCTTTCATCACAACATTACTCCCTTGATCAGTGGAGTGTGATGGTTGGGCTGCAAAGTGGTCTTTACTCAGATGTTACCAAATCCTGCAACAAACTGCTGAGCTGCTATTTTACTGTAGAATGAGAAAGGTCAGATTTATCTCAACAAAGCTACATGCATCTTTCCTGAGCTGTGATGAAATAAAATCATCCAGTAATTAATGACACCACAAGTCAAAAAGTAATCAAGCATGTTGCTCCCCTCCAGCTTTATGTGCCACAGAGTGAAGGGACTGGATGGAGACGTACCTGACTGATGGTGCTCATGGCTCTCATGTAGCTTTCATTGCGTGAGCGATACTGAGGGGAGGACAGCAGGGATTTGGGGTCCAGGAGGGTTTTAGGGTCCAGAGTGTCCACGCTCCTGTTGATTGAAACCTCACTCACAGCCCGCAGGTAACTGTGACTCCTGATCTGCAGCTTGGGGGAGTGTTCTGTGGAGATCCTGCAAGAAGAAGAGCATCAGAGAAAACTTCCATGGCTTCGCAGTCTACATTAACATCCGACTCAACTTTTTGGTTTGCACTAAAGTTAATGTGGACTATTTATTCTACCTGTAACTATAAATGGCTTTGCTAAACACGATGCTGCAGAGGATCTCTGTTACATTCTAGAGGTTTCTAACAACGACAACGTCTACAATGATTATTGAAGGTTTTGGTTTGTTCATTGCAAATAGAGAAAGAAAATCTGCTGTTCTAATCCCAGTGTTCAAAACACTGGATGACTGCGACACAGTCCTAAAGGAGGCAAAGCCCACCGCCAGAAACAAGACCAACTTATTGCTTCACTTCATGCACACAAGACTGAGGAGCTGCAAACTAGAGATTAAGACTGTTAGGAGAAAGACTGACAGACTGTAAACTAGAGATTAAGACTGTTAGGAGAAAGACTGACAGACTGTAAACTAGAGATTAAGACTGTTAGGAGAAAGACTGACTAGCAGTAAACTAGAGATTAAGACTGTTAGGAGAAAGACTGATTAGCAGTAAACTAGAGATTAAGACTGTTAGGAGAAAGACTGACTAGCAGTAAACTAGAGATTAAGACTGTTAGGAGAAAGACTGACTAGCAGTAAACTAGAGATTAAGACTGTTAGGAGAAAGACTGACTGGCAGTAAACTAGAGATTAAGACTTTTAGGAGAAAGACTGACTAGCAGTAAACTAGAGATTAAGACTGTTAGGAGAAAGACTGACAGACTGTAAACTAGAGATTAAGACTGTTAGGAGAAAGACTGACAGACTGTAAACTAGAGATTAAGACTGTTAGGAGAAAGACTGACAGACTGTAAACTAGAGATTAAGACTGTTAGGAGAAATACTGACAGACTGTAAACTAGAGATTAAGACTGTTAGGAGAAAGACTGACAGACTGTAAACTAGAGATTAAGACTGTTAGGAGAAAGACTGACTACCAGTAAACTAGAGATTAAGACTGTTAGGAGAAAGACTGACTAGCAGTAAACTAGAGATTAAGACTGTTAGGAGAAAGACTGACTAGCAGTAAACTAGAGATTAAGACTGTTAGGAGAAATACTGACAGACTGTAAACTAGAGATTAAGACTGTTAGGAGAAAGACTGACAGACTGTAAACTAGAGATTAAGACTGTTAGGAGAAAGACTGACAGACTGTAAACTAGAGATTAAGACTGTTAGGAGAAAGACTGGCTAGCAGTAAACTAGAGATTAAGACTGTTAGGAGAAAGACTGACTAGCAGTAAACTAGAGATTAAGACTGTTAGGAGAAATACTGACAGACTGTAAACTAGAGATTAAGACTGTTAGGAGAAAGACTGACTAGCAGTAAACTAGAGATTAAGACTGTTAGGAGAAAGACTGACTAGCAGTAAACTAGAGGTTAAGACCGTTAGGAGAAAGACTGACAGACTGTAAACTAGAGATTAACACTGTTAGGAGAAAGACTGACAGTCTGTAAACTAGAGATTAAGACTGTTAGGAGAAAGACTGACTAGCAGTAAACTAGAGATTAAGACTGTTAGGAGAAAGACTGACTAGCAGTAAACTAGAGATTAAGACTGTTAGGAGAAAGACTGACAGACTGTAAACTAGAGATTAAGACTGTTAGGAGAAGACTGACAGACTGTAAACTAGAGATTAAGACTGTTAGGAGAAAGACTGACTAGCAGTAAACTAGAGATTAAGACTGTTAGGAGAAAGACTGACAGACTGTAAACTAGAGATTAAGACTGTTAGGAGAAAGACTGACAGACTGTAAACTAGAGATTAAGACTGTTAGGAGAAAGACTGACTAGCAGTAAACTAGAGATTAAGACTGTTAGGTGAAAGACTGACTAGCAGTAAACTAGAGATTAAGACTGTTAGGAGAAAGACTGACTAGCAGTAAACTAGAGATTAAGACTGTTAGAAGAAAGACTGACAGACTGTAAACTAGAGATTAAGACTGTTAGGAGAAAGACTGACTAGCAGTAAACTAGAGAATAAGACTGTTAGGAGAAAGACTGACAGACTGTAAACTAGAGATTAAGACTGTTAGGAGAAAGACTGACTAGCAGTAAACTAGAGATTAAGACTGTTAGGAGAAAGACTGACTAGCAGTAAACTAGAGATTAAGACTGTTAGGAGAAAGACTGACTGGCAGTAAACTAGAGATTAAGACTTTTAGGAGAAAGACTGACTAGCAGTAAACTAGAGATTAAGACTGTTAGGAGAAAGACTGACAGACTGTAAACTAGAGATTAAGACTGTTAGGAGAAAGACTCACAGACTGTAAACTAGAGATTAAGACTGTTAGGAGAAAGACTGACAGACTGTAAACTAGAGATTAAGACTGTTAGGAGAAAGACTGGCTAGCAGTAAACTAGAGATTAAGACTGTTAGGAGAAAGACTGACAGACTGTAAACTAGAGATTAAGACTGTTAGGAGAAAGACTGACTAGCAGTAAACTAGAGATTAAGACTGTTAGGTGAAAGACTGACTAGCAGTAAACTAGAGATTAAGACTGTTAGGAGAAAGACTGACAGACTGTAAACTAGAAATTAAGACTGTTAGGAGAAAGACTGACAGACTGTAAACTAGAGATTAAGACTGTTAGGAGAAAGACTGAAAGACTAAACTAGAGATTAAGACTGTTAGGAGAAAGACTGACTAGCAGTAAACTAGAGATTAAGACTGTTAGGAGAAATACTGACAGACTGTAAACTAGAGATTAAGACTGTTAGGAGAAAGACTGACTAGCAGTAAACTAGAGATTAAGACTGTTAGGAGAAAGACTGACAGACTGTAAACTAGAGATTAAGACTGTTAGGAGAATAAGACTGTTAGGAGAAAGACTGACAGACTGTAAACTAGAGATTAAGACTGTTAGGAGAAAGACTGACTAGCAGTAAACTAGAGATTAAGACTGTTAGGAGAAAGACTGACTAGCAGTAAACTAGAGATTAAGACTGTTAGGAGAAATACTGACAGACTGTAAACTAGAGATTAAGACTGTTAGGAGAAAGACTGACTAGCAGTAAACTAGAGATTAAGACTGTTAGGAGAAAGACTGACAGACTGTAAACTAGAGATTAAGACTGTTAGGAGAATAAGACTGTTAGGAGAAAGACTGACAGACTGTAAACTAGAGATTAAGACTGTTAGGAGAAAGACTGACTAGCAGTAAACTAGAGATTAAGACTGTTAGGAGAAAGACTGACTAGCAGTAAACTAGAGATTAAGACTGTTAGGATAAATACTGACAGACTGTAAACTAGAGATTAAGACTGTTAGGAGAAAGACTGACTAGCAGTAAACTAGAGATTAAGACTGTTAGGAGAAAGACTGACAGACTGTATACTAGAGATTAAGACTGTTAGGAGAAAGACTGACAGACTGTAAACTAGAGATTAAGACTGTTAGGAGAAAGACTGACTAGCAGTAAACTAGAGATTAAGACTGTTAGGAGAAAGACTGACAGACTGTCAACTAGAGATTAAGACTGTTAGGAGAAAGACTGACTGGCAGTAAACTAGAGATTAAGACTGTTAGGAGAAAGACTGACAGACTGTAAACTAGAGATTAAGACTGTTAGGAGAAAGACTGACAGACTGTAAACTAGAGATTAAGACTGTTAGGAGAAAGACTGACTAGCAGTAAACTAGAGATTAAGACTGTTAGGAGAAAGACTGATTAGCAGTAAACTAGAGATTAAGACTGTTAGGAGAAAGACTGACTAGCAGTAAACTAGAGATTAAGACTGTTAGGAGAAAGACTGACTAGCAGTAAACTAGAGATTAAGACTGTTAGGAGAAAGACTGACTGGCAGTAAACTAGAGATTAAGACTTTTAGGAGAAAGACTGACTAGCAGTAAACTAGAGATTAAGACTGTTAGGAGAAAGACTGACAGACTGTAAACTAGAGATTAAGACTGTTAGGAGAAAGACTGACAGACTGTAAACTAGAGATTAAGACTGTTAGGAGAAAGACTGACAGACTGTAAACTAGAGATTAAGACTGTTAGGAGAAATACTGACAGACTGTAAACTAGAGATTAAGACTGTTAGGAGAAAGACTGACAGACTGTAAACTAGAGATTAAGACTGTTAGGAGAAAGACTGACTACCAGTAAACTAGAGATTAAGACTGTTAGGAGAAAGACTGACTAGCAGTAAACTAGAGATTAAGACTGTTAGGAGAAAGACTGACTAGCAGTAAACTAGAGATTAAGACTGTTAGGAGAAATACTGACAGACTGTAAACTAGAGATTAAGACTGTTAGGAGAAAGACTGACAGACTGTAAACTAGAGATTAAGACTGTTAGGAGAAAGACTGACAGACTGTAAACTAGAGATTAAGACTGTTAGGAGAAAGACTGGCTAGCAGTAAACTAGAGATTAAGACTGTTAGGAGAAAGACTGACTAGCAGTAAACTAGAGATTAAGACTGTTAGGAGAAATACTGACAGACTGTAAACTAGAGATTAAGACTGTTAGGAGAAAGACTGACTAGCAGTAAACTAGAGATTAAGACTGTTAGGAGAAAGACTGACTAGCAGTAAACTAGAGGTTAAGACCGTTAGGAGAAAGACTGACAGACTGTAAACTAGAGATTAACACTGTTAGGAGAAAGACTGACAGTCTGTAAACTAGAGATTAAGACTGTTAGGAGAAAGACTGACTAGCAGTAAACTAGAGATTAAGACTGTTAGGAGAAAGACTGACTAGCAGTAAACTAGAGATTAAGACTGTTAGGAGAAAGACTGACAGACTGTAAACTAGAGATTAAGACTGTTAGGAGAAGACTGACAGACTGTAAACTAGAGATTAAGACTGTTAGGAGAAAGACTGACTAGCAGTAAACTAGAGATTAAGACTGTTAGGAGAAAGACTGACAGACTGTAAACTAGAGATTAAGACTGTTAGGAGAAAGACTGACAGACTGTAAACTAGAGATTAAGACTGTTAGGAGAAAGACTGACTAG